ATTCCTGCTCTTAGGAAAGAGAAATTCTGGGATGTAGAGTTATTCAAATTACATGCAACTGAACCTGATGGTACCTGGTGCTCCAGCCCCACAGGCAAACCTATCCTTCCCCAGTTAATAATACAACTGTGGAGACTTAATGGCTTGAATGTGACCTTTATTGGACATTCATTGTTCTTGTGTTGTATTTTGGGGCTCAGAGAATGATGCATGTGACAGATCCCCTGTCTTTGCGGGTAGGAACTATCTCAGGAATGATATATGGGATGTCTCTAAGGGTAGAATCATTCTCCTCACACGCAAGCGGACTCCTCGGTGCTCCTGTGCTGCCTCCCGTCTTTGGCCCTTCAGCCAGCTTGTCCTCCGTCTCCTTCTTGTTGTCTCCCCCACCTGGACTTGTGGCTCTGATGGCCATGGTGTGGGAGACCAAAGGACTACCCACTTCCTCACTGGGTCCTAGTATTCTTTTGTGTGCCCGCCGAGTGCTGCCTCGTCTCTTCTTTGGGCTATGAGAGCTAACTAGGTGCTGCCCCACATTCTCCATCTCAGACAGACTGTGGGCCATGGCCCGATACAGGTCCTTGTCCTCCTCCTCAGGGTAGGCAACAGCAGACTCGGCACTCTGCGAGCGTGGCGGAGCCAGGATGTCGGTGGCAGAGGCGCTCGGGATCTCTGACACCTCCTGACTGATCTGTTCCACTCTGGCCTTCATGTTGTTGCTGAGGTCTGGAGGGGGGAAAACCGGGGGAGGGGGGAGAGTGGAAAGCAAGCATGAGAAGCCATCTCAGTCGGGCCTTGTATTTTCATAGAACCATAGAGTTGGAAGGGGCCACACTGGCCATCTAGTCCACCTGCCTGCTCAGTGCCGGATCAGCCTAGAGCATCCCTGACAAGTGTTCATCCAAACGCTGCTTGGGGACTGTCTCGGGGCAACACTGCAAGACTTGTAGCAGTGGGATTTATATAAGGATGAGGGGGTGTAAGAATTCTTTAGCATCTGAATAGAGGCAGCAAGGAACAGATGGGCTTCCCCTGGTCAGTGACACATCAACAATCCTGACCCAAAGATGACATTCAGTATTTATTATTATTATTATTTTATTGATTTAATTTATACCCCACCCTCCCCACCAAGGCGGGCTCAGAGCGTCTTACAAATATTTCATAAAAATACAATTAAAACCTATCATAACATATAAACATATAACATAAAATACCAATAATTTAAAACACAACTAAAATGCTGGAACATTATCGAGTAAACAGGAGCTAAGATTGTTTATAATATGACTTAGGTGACAGTTTAATTCCTATAACTTCACACCCGCTCAGTTCAGTCACTTGTTATGCGGCAGGTACAGGCCAAAGGTAGCAATGGTAAGGCCAGGACACAGGCTGGCAAAGGTGGTAAAGCCAGGGCACAGGGACACTCCTCGGTGTATGATGCGGCTCCTTAGTCAAATGCCTGGTGGAAGAGCTCCATCATGCAAGCCCTGTGGAACTGTAAAAGGTCTGCAGGGCCCTGATCTCTTCTGGGAGCTCATTCCACCAGTGTAGAGCCGCCACTGAAAAAGCCCTGGCCTTGGTTGTGGCCAGCCTGGCATCCTTGGGGCTTAGAAGGGCCAACCAATTTTGTGTCCCTGAATGCAGTGCTCTCTGGGGAACATGTGGGGAAAGGCGGTCCCTCGGGTATGCCAGACCCTGACCATATAGGGCTTTAAAACAGCACCTTGAAGCAAACCGGTATGCTATCGGCAACCAGTGCAGTGCCTTTAGCATAGGCTGGATGTGCTCCCCTGTGGGGATACCCATCAGCAGCCTGGCTGCCACATTCTGCACTAGTTGCAGCTTCTGGATTTGTTCTTGTACCTTCGTCCCGGGCACACCGCCACCGTCATTTTAGCTCCCGCTTCATCAGCCACAACTCCTGGGTATACTGGGGTGCCAGGCTAATGTGGAAGCACAGAGGGCGTCGGGGAGTCATCTCGATGGCTGCGGAGAGTCGGCTATGCCAGCCCTTCACAAGCTCATCTAGCGAGCCGCCACAGAGCCATTTGAAGCCTCACTGGGTCCATTTGGCTCCACAGGTGAGCTAAAATACACTCGCCCCCTAAACAGGACTGGGGTGAGACATTTGCCTCAGGGCAAAGCGGTCAGACCACGGCACCGCCAAAGCAGTGATCCGGTCCAGTGTAACCCTCACCGTGAAGATCAGATCGAGCATGTGACCAGCCTGGTGAGTGGGAGTTGTTACAAATTGTGAGAGTCCCAGCGCCACTATGGACGACACTAGGTCCGTCACCTGAGTAGAGGCCGCATCGTTGGCATGGACATTGAAGTCACCCAAGACTAGTAGCCTAGGGTATGCCAATGCCCAGCCCAGCACGGCCTCCATCAGGGACGGCAGGATATTGGTTGCTACACCAGCCAAATTGCCAAGCTCTCCCCAGCATCTCACACTAGGCCGGTAGACTCTATGCCCACCATCCTCAGAGGTGGGAGCGCCCTGAAGGAGTAAGCCTCCCAAATGAATAGGGTCACCCCCCACCCCCTAGTCTGCAACTAGGAGGAGCCAGTTGGGAGAGAGCTACCATCTCCCCTTCTCACACCCAGGTCTCGGTTATGCATGCCAGATCTACATTATGCTCCAACAGAAAGTCCCAAAGGACCATGGTCTTGTTGTTGATAGACCTGTTGTTACACAACATCAGTGTTGGAGGGGGTTATTTATCCTAGCCCCACTGCCGGCAACCCTTGGGATGGGATGTAGGCTGGAAGGGGGCCGAGCGACTCTGTTTCTCCGTCCCTTTCCTTTAACTCCCTGCCTAGTCCCACCACTGCACTTTCCTCTCCCCAGAAGCATTGGTATCCCGTATGAGAAGGGAATCCCTGACTCCATTAGACCTCTCCACTGAACTAGTTTGGTGTCGAAGAAACGTACTAACTACTGATGTAGCAGTAGCGTAAGAACATAAGAAGAGCCCTATGCCAACAAGGGCATGGAGGCCGAGGCCTTCCCCTGATGTTACCTCCTGGCTCTGGGATTCACAGGTTTAATGCCTCTGGATGTAGAGGTTTCCGTCAGTCACCATGGCTAATAGCCATTGGTAGACTTTTCCTCCATGAATCTATCTAATCCCCTTTTAAATTTGTTTATTCCTGTCGGCATCACTACATTCTCTAACAGCAAATTCCACATTTGAATCACTCCCTGTGTAAAGAACTATTTCCTTTTGTCTGTCCTGAACCTCCTGCCCATCAGCTTCACTGGATGCCTTCAAGTTCTAGTATTTTGGGAGAGGGAGAAAAAA